ACTGTAGCCTACGCTATACAGCGTTGTCTCATCAACCTCATCTTCATTCAACTTGCCATTACAGTGGAATCTGTGCTTAACCCTGCAGCCATGACCATGTCGTCTCTTTTGCTCTTTCTCTTTATCTCTATCAATCTTCCCTCTCTTGGTGCCGAATATGCTCTGTTTACGAGATGCAGAAGTAACTCTTTAAGCTGTGGAAGCATAAAAAATCTCAAGTATCCCTTCTGGGGAGACTACAAAGCTGCTTATTGTGGTCTTCCTGCTTTTCAGCTCACATGCGAAGAAAATATCACAAAAATAAACATACGGGGCGACAACTATCGAGTTCTTGACGTGGAAAGGACTTCACAGATTCTTACAGTAGTGAGGGAAGATTATTATGACACCATCTGTCCAAGCGATTACAAAAACAATACCTTGGATTCAACAATTTTCCAGTATGTTGAGGGGCTTGCTTATGTGACTTTTCTCTACAATTGCAGTTCTGATACTTCATTTCCACCCAATACTTCTAGTCGAATTTGCTTCCAAGATAGCAGTGATGGAAATGATAGATATCTTGTCTATTATGTTCTGGGAGAAGTGTATAACGGGGATTGCAGGAGCGTGATCATGCCGATACACGCAGCACAAGCTCAAGCAGTTCTGAAGGGACAAATATACGGAGTGATAGATAAGGGTTTTGGGTTGAAATGGACAGCAAACGAAGAGCAGTGCGACGCTTGCACTGCATCTGGTGGAGTGTGCGGCTATGACAAACAATTCCTCTGTTTCTGCAAAGACGGAAGTCATGATACTTCATGTTCTACAGGTATATCACTTTCATGATTCTAAGCCAAGAAGCATAAATATTTAAGGATATATATATATATATATATAAGGAAAACGATAGAAAAATTTCACTAAAATATGTAAATGGCAAAGAAATTTTATGAAATGACATAATTTTTCTAAGTTGCTAAGGACTTCTATGATATTAAGTTTTTTTGGTGAAATAATTAAAATATTTCTAGATTAAAATTTAAAATAAAAGGTAAATATAAATTACTACTTTAGTTTAAGCATGAACTAATTTTCTTTCAAGAATGATTAGAATATGATAAGCAATTACAACTTTCTTTGTGCAAATTTTTAATTTATTAAAATCCAAATATTGTAAATATCTATAACTATTAAGCAATGACTATTTTTCTTTTATCAATGACTAGAATGGAACTAATAACTACTTCTTTTCCTGGAAAAATTTTTATTCATTGAAGTTATAATTTACACAGGAAAACTTGCAATTGCTTATTCCATTCTAGTCATTAACAGAAGAAAAATAGTCATTACATAAACTAAAATAGTCTACTTACTTTTTTACTTTAAATTGAGGATATTTTAATCATTTCATGAAAAATGTTAATGTCAAAAAAGCCCCTAAAAGCTTGAGAGTCATTATGACATTTCATAAGAATTTATTGCTTAAAATAAATTTATTATCATTTGCATATTTTAAAGTGATTTTTCTGCCATTTTTCCTATATGATATAAATAATTTTCGTTACCTCTAGGGCTACTGTAATATAAATTCTCATCATCACATGCACATAACCAGTAGTTCTCTTCACTTATTCCATCTTCATCTTAAAGCTGAATACAATTTCTTTGCATTTTCTCTGGTTATTCCTCAAGTACTGATTCTATTCCAAAAGTTTAAAACATATGCATGTTTAAGTAATCCCCACAATCAACTTTGAAACTACTACTCCCTTCCTAAATATAAGATCTAGATAATTAATCCCTTCTTTTAAGAATTTACATTATTGAATTAATTGCATTCAGATATATGAGGATTTGTATTTGAATCAAATCCCTCATTTAGATGTACAAAAGTCTTTGGATCTGAATTGGATCCAAATTCAAATTCATATTTTATTATAATTTTTTCATAATTTCAACTTTTTTCTAAACTCTAGTTATTTCAAATTTTAGCTTCTACAACCCTCTCATTTTAAAAAAAAAAAATCACTATTGATACTTCTATTACTCTCATCACTTCTCTTATTTATTGTTCTCATCGCTTAATGATTGAGAAATAGAGTTAAACTCATCATTTTTAATATTTTTATTTTTACTTCAAATCTCAATCATATCTCTTTTACCTTTAAAATTTTTTTGCACTTTTCAAACAAAAGGATTTTAAATATATAAATTTTAAATGTGAGATTTTAAATTTTAAATTTAAATTTAAATCTATCAATTCAAATGCTATGTTATAAAATGCACAATTTATCATGTACAATCAATAAGGGTAATCTGAAAAAAAAAATATAGGAGACAAAAAATTGGAGTTATATGGTTAGAACCAAAGCAAACGTCTCAACAAAATTCTATATTTAGGACTCAAGGGAGTATTTGAAGAAAAAAAAAATTCAAAATATAACTGACTTACACACTTAACTATGTAATTGATAATCGCTTTAACGTTAAAGAATAGATGAAAACGATTAATGAAATGCTACTTCTGCAAATCATATGTGTTGCATGACATGATTGAAACAGTATAGGAGCATATTGACATAATCGCTTTACCATCGTTTGAATGTGGCCTCTGCGATCATACAAACATTGCCTTCTAAAGAAAGTTTGACTTCTTAATTTTGTGTTTTCTCAATATTATTATATTAAGTGAACATTCAGATTCTCTTAATTTTTTAATTAGAAATCTAATGAATTTTTCACTGTGTCTTGAAGCTTAATATAGAGTGAAATCTCTTTAGAGCGGACAACCGCATAAAATAATTCCACAACGGTAGCAGCTAAATTGGTTTACCAGAACAAGAAAAACTTCTTCCCCCATATATATATCCCATGAAAATAAATTTTTAATCATACACTATGAAATTTACTTTACTTTTTTGAATTATATGTTCCATAATGACGTTCTAATTGCAGAATCAACGAACAAGCCCCATCGGCTACTCAAGACCGCTATAGGTAATTAAAATAATAGTGCTTAGTTTTTATCTGCCCCAGCTGCATTCTTACAGATTTTAAAATATGTTCCATAAATTCAGGCATTTCAGCAGGAGCGGGTGGAGGTGGAGTTATCTTAATCTCCATGTGGGTTATTTATTGTTCCAAGAAGCCCTTAACAATTATAAAAAGGAAAATCTTTAAAGAGAGGGGAGCATGTCGTGATGACAACATTCAGTCCTTCATGGAAAATTATGGTTTCTTGAAACCAAAACAATACAGTTATTCACAAGTCAAAAAAATGACAAAGTCATTTTCAAGCAAATTAGGTGAGGGAGGATATGGTGTTGTATACAAAGCAAGCATGCCTGATGGTCGCACAGTGGCTGTAAAAGAAATAAGGAAATCTAAGGGAACTGGGGAAGAATTTATAAATGAAGTTGCAAGTATTAGCAAAACCTCCCATGTCAACATAGTTACTCTCCTGGGATTTTGTTATGAAAAAAATAAGAGAGTACTAATCTATGAATACTTGCCAAATGGATCCCTAGATAACTTCATCTATAAAAATGGATCTCCAAATGCTTTTGTGCTTTGGAGTGGAAGGTATTGTTCAAAGTTGCAATAGGCATTGCTCGAGGGCTTGAGTACTTGCATCGAGGTTGTAATACAAGAATTTTGCATCTTGACATCAAACCTCAAAACATTCTTTTGGATGAAGACTTTTGCCCAAAAATATCTGATTTTGGGTTAGCTAAAATTTGTCAAAAGAAAGAGAGCATTGTGTCAATCTTGGGTACAAGAGGAACAGTAGGATTCATAGCACCAGAAATATTCAGTAGAGCATTTGGTGGAGTATCTCATAAAGCAGATGTTTATAGCTATGGCATGTTGGTTCTTGAAATGATTGGAGGAAGGAAAAATTATAATAGTGGAGGATCAAATACTGAAGAAATCTATTTTCCAGATTGGATTTATAAGGATCTTGAACAAGGTAATCATCCTGCTAGTTATTTCACAACCACCGATGAAGAAAATGAGGTGGTAAGGAAGATGACTTTAGTAAGTCTATGGTGCATTCAAATGAATCCTACAAATAGACCAACTATAAGTAAAGTGGTAGAAATGTTAGAAGCACCCCTTCAATCATTATCAATTCCTCCCAAACCATCACTGAACGCTCCTACAAGATCGTCATTAACATCCTCAAATGGATCTTCTGATGAAATCACTCAGACAAATTCAATAAGCAGTTGACTGAAGACTAACCTTCAACTGTGTTGGTTAATCAATGGAAACTTGTCTTCTGCTGCTTCCTTTCTTATTCGGCCATAAATATGAAGTCAATTAATCATTCAAAAATTTAGAAGTTGTATTTTCTAGATTTCCGTCATTTTCATTCATACATACGTATGATGTCTTCTTTAATGTTTAGGATGCAATGAAATCTAACTCCTTTTTCTAAACACATTACATCATACTAATTTTAGAGTATCTAAATAGAGAGACCAAAAGGTTACAAGTCTTTCTTGACGTTGGAATTGGTTATGTTAAAGACTAGTGACTTGTATCCAAGGAGTTACAAGTATTTAATAAACACTAACTAAACTGTTGTATTTATAAATCCATGGGAATTGCCAACTGTCGCTTCCTTTCCTATTGCTTGCAAGCAAATATGAAAAGAGGCATCTGAATTTTTTGTTTTTGGTCTTTTTGCAGTTCTTTTGTAGCTAACAGGCTAATAGATGGAGTTCTGTGAAGTCAATTAATCATTCAAGTTGAATTTTCTAAATTTCTGTTCCTTTCATTCATTCTAACTATGTTAGCTTTCCTATTTATTATGCATTGAAATCTCATTTTCTTTTGTTTTTCTTTTTTAAAATAAAAGACACTGCATACTTATTTTAGAGCATCTAGTTAAAGTTACCAACGAGTTACAAGTATTTCTAAAATTTAGAGCTGGTTATACTTGTGACTCGTGGATCAATTGCTAGTAACTTTTTAAATCATAACCTAGATACTTTAAGTACCATCATGTAGTACAAGATTGAAATGGATGGCAAGACTTGCATAAAATACGAGGAGTGATGATGCAACACTTGGAATAGTTAGGTATGACTAGCCCAAAACATGAGATAACCCACATCCCTTAAACTGTGGAGACACAAAACCACTTGTTCACATAACTAAAATCATCATATTTATAATTTTGATATCAAAGATCAATGGTAAACATGATTTCATAAAAACAAAAGTACCAAGGCTTTATGCAGAAATTTTGCCATAATCTTCCTTGTAAATGAGACCTTCATAATTTCTGCAATAGCAAATCAGTGTACATTTAGCATACGAAGTTCCATTCCAGGACAACATATAGTCAAAATACAAAAGAATATGATGATCTAACCTATGAACACGTTGAGCGTATCTATTACAACACAAAACAACATGAAATTTATCTCAAGTCTTTACATTCAAAACGCATTATACCAGAGAACAACCTAAAGAATAACTATGTAAATGACAAATTTTATTTATCCATAAAGAAAATAAACCCAAAAAATAGCTTTCTTAGGACTTAAACAAAACCAACAATAGGTGTAGACACCTAGTACATGAAGGTAAGGAACAAATTAGATACGACTAAAAGCCATGAAAACAGGTATGAGCATTATGCTCATGATGAGAACAGGTATTAGTATGATACACATGAAATTGAGTCCTTTATTCCACATGTGTGGGCTGTCAAATGAGGCTAGCATCTCTACTACACCTTGCTAGGTGGATGTTAATCACGGTATGCCAAGTGCTAATAGAACTATCATTACCAACTAACATTCTGTACTCGTGAATAATTAATAAACCTTGGTTTTAGCCAAACACTAAATAATGCATTTTCATAGAGATTTTCAATTTTTTAAAACAAAAAAGATAAAATAAAACAAAACTATATCGCAATAAAGATTATTTAAAATAGTGTAAGTTGACAAAGTGCCTAGTTCCTATATAAATTATATTGGGATGATATTTGCTTACCTAATGTTTTCCCACTTCCCAAACATGAGATTTTGTCCTTTAATGCTTATTGTAGGGTCACGGAGAAGAAGCAAGAACTATGATGACTACATGTACATAATGAAAATTATGACTATTCGACCATATTAATAGGGCATTCTATCATTGCATTACACTTGCACTAAAAAATTAGGATTAATATACAAATCTGCCTCAAAATTTCCACACAAGCACAATTAGTATCTTAAAGTATTTTTTAGCATAATGTCATCCGAACGTTTTTCAAAATAATATAACATCACTCCAATTTAATAGAAGAGCCTAACGGTGTTAATCTTGTTATATGGCTCCCACACATTAATGACAACTTGGAAACTTAGGGGGCAAATTTGTACAGTAACCCAAAAAGTTAATCCAATTATTTCAACTGGAACCCCAAGCTCTTCCTTATCACATTTCCCATCAACACACCTCATCCATATATAAACTCTACCTTCGCAACTTTCGATCATTCCTCATTTTAACAAGGTTCAATAATTTTTCCAATAAAAGGGGTTATTTCTAACATGAATAAACATCTCTAGCATTCTTTAAAAAAAAAAAATTCATATCATCATCTAAAAATATTCTCACATCCAAGTTGCTGGCAAATCCTGCTCGCAACTTTTCCTTAATATGCTTATATCAACCAGATTAGAATCTATGTAGCACGGATACTTCAAAAAAGTAAACGTACCTGTATCCGATATGATACTTGTAAGATACTTCTGCATACGTATCCTATATTCTAACATTTGTGATATGATTTTTTTTCAATAATTTTTTACTATATCACTTAAAAACTTAAAAAAACACTTAATATTTTAGTTAATTACTATAAATATCCTTATATTACTTTAGAAATTCTTGTTTAAAAATCAAAATACCTATACTTATATCATAAAATATTGAAATATACATTATAAATATCCCCGTACCTGTATCCTAAAATTTTAAAAATTTGCCGCATCCCCGTATCATGCCGTATCGTATCAGATACTCGTACCCGTATCTATGTAGCCTAGATTAGAATCCCCCCCTTTTTCCACTGTATCTATAAATATATTTACATACTAAGATAAATTTTGGGTATCTCATAAATTAAGATCTACCCAAAGTTGTAACAATTTGAACTAGCTTTTGGTTATACTTACTATTTCCCTTTTGATTCAAACAATGCATCAAACATCTAATATGCATTTAGTACAATTTCCATGCTATAAGCACTCTAACATGCAACCATTCTTCCTCTTAACATACATAAGCATAAGATAAACTCACAACAACATTGAAACACCAATTAACCACACCACCATTGATATTTCTAGATTTCCCCAACTTACGATTACTTAAGAAAAGAGGAACAGGGCATCAATTTCAGTTATCCAAGAGCATGATAACTGCAAATTTGTGGAGAAAATACCTAGCTAGCAGAGTTTCCAACTTCCTCCAAATTTTCAGCCAGAAACCCATTCAACTCTTTCCCCTGTTCAGCGTTACAAATGACAAGAATATCTCCTGCAGAACAGCTATTGAAAGCCACGATGGAGGAGAGAAAGATTGAGTTTTAATGGTGGAAAAGAAAAGGAGGAGATTGACGGTAAAACTCGCTGCCTTACAAGGATTCATGAGGCACGCCGAGAAACACGAAGAACACTGCGGTAATGATGTAGAGCGAAGCCTCAAGTTCGACCCACAGCGGACCTAGACCCGCAAACACACAAGACACGAAGAGGTCGAGAATGAAAGGCGGGTGCGAACGAAGTTGGATTTTTTCATCTGCGAAGGATGGCGGAGGAGAGGTCTAATTAAATTTAAAAATTTAAAATTAATAATTTTTTGAGAGCTCAACGTAATTTTTAATTCTTGTATTTTATTAATATTTTATTTTTTATATTTATATTTATTTTTAATATTATTAATTTTTAATTTTTAATTTTTTATTATTTTAAATTTTTTTATGAGCAAAATATGAAGGTTCTAAAAAATTTTTAAAACAATAAAAAATAAAATTATAAAAACTTAAAATATTAAAAAAAATATAAAAATTTAAAATAAAATATGAATAAAGTATAAAGATTAAAAATTATATTTTTTTTAAAAAAATATAAATTTAATTTTTTAATGTAGTGAAAAGATAATGAAAAATAAATAAATAAAGGAAAGAAACTCACCTCTAGTTCGAACAAGACGACTACTGTAGCTAACGCATTAGCCACGGAAATTGTTTCCACATCCACAAAAGCAAAAACCATAATTTTTGATGATATGTTTGGAAAAATTAATGATCCTGTCCCGCAACCTTCGAATTTCACTTCATCCGTGCCATTAATGGGGTTCATATTATATTTTAAAAAAAAAATTAATTATTTAATTTTTATAATTTTGATTTTGTTATAACTCAATTTTTAAATTTTGACTCATTATAATTTAATCTTTATAATTTTAATTTAATTATAATTTAGTCTTTAAATTTTATCTATTACAATTCAATCATAATAGTTTCAACCATTTAAATATTAATTTTTATATTTTTAAAAAATAAAATTATAAAAATTAAAAATATTTTAAGTTTTTTAATATTTATAAAGATTAAAAGGGTTTAGTAATTTAAAATATTAATTATAAATTCTAATATAATTTTAATCTTTATAATTTTATTTTTTAAAATTTAGGGATTAACATTTAAATAATTAAATGAGTGATAAGAGTTAAAATTTAAGGAGTAAGTTATGATTAAGTTAAAACTTTAAGATTGTTAAAATTTAAGAACTAAATTATAATTGAGTTAAAATTTTAAGATTGAATTATAACAAATCAAAATTAAATTCTAATAATCAAATGATTAATTTTGCTTATTTGTAAATATTTTTATTATAAAATATTAACTTTCTCTCCCCTGCCCAGTCTCCTTGTCTCCTCTTTCTCTCCTCCCTTGCTTTTTCTCTCTCCTGTCCTCTCGGTGCCGTCGATATTCTGTGCGACCTGGTCTCTCGTCCAAACTGGATAATTCCAGAGCTCAAGTCTGAAGAGCACCACAAGCTTGGTGGCCCGCGAACAAAGCGAAACAAAGCTATTCAAAAATTCTAAAGCTTGGCGCCCGTGGTGTTATGTCAGTAAGCAATGGATAAAGTCATGAAAGGGGAGCACTACTATAGGATAGTGATACATAATATAATGGCGTCTTTATGGAGAATGATAGCCCATTAAACATATCACATATCAAAAACACCATGCTTAGAACATCGTATTTTATCTGCCTTTTCAAATGTAAATTAAAAATTAACAAAAATAATAAATAAAATAAATAAAAATAAAGGAATAAAAAGAGCTTTTGTGATTTAAAAAATAATAATAATATTTTCTTTTATATTAATCCCAAATCCCCTCAATTATATTCTCATTAAATTTGACTTAGTTAAACAAAAATTAGATAATTTGACAAGTCAAATTAATCAAATTCTAATTTGAGGTAATCACATCTTGATTAGAATTTGTTTTAATTAAGAAAAAAATTTTAAAATCTGAAATAATTACGGAAAAAGTCAAATGAAAATTAGTAATGATTTGATTTGGTATGATTATGATCAATTCTATCGTTAAGAGGAAAAACCATAGTGGATGCCTATAAAAGGGGATAGAGATACCACAAAGAAAAGGGGGGATTTTTTTGGAAAGGAGATGGAAGGGAGGAAACTGATTATGTTGGTAAAACTCTGAAAAGTGAGTTTTTATTTTGATTCTATTTTCATATTTATCTGATTATGGGTGCTTGATCAGTATAATCCTTTGTAAAAAAGAGGAACTGTTTTGGGTATAGAAGTCATGCCTTTGGGTTTATCACCATTTTGGTCCTCACTGATCATTATAATAATTGCCATGTATTGATAACCAATTACCCTTGTCATGTTGTTGGGATAGGATTTGCTTTGGATATATGACTGCAACATTATGCCTCATAATATTTGTTCGTTTGATTACCACGTGCATGGATCAATTCCTAAGTTGTATAGATATGGGTACGAGTATCCAATACGATACAGTATGATATGGGAATACGGCAAATTTTTAAAATTTTAGAATACGGGTACGGGGATATTTATAATATATATTTCAACATTTTATGATATAAGTATAGGTATTTTGATTTTTAAACAAGAATTTTTAAAGTAATATAAGGATATTTATAATAATTAACTAAAATATTAAGTGTTTTTTCAAGTTTTTAAGTGATATAGTAAAAGATTATTGAAAAAAAATTATATCACAAATGTTAAAATATGAGATATGTATGCAAAAGTATCCTACAAGTATCGTATCGGATAAGTATCAGATAGGGTATGTTTACTTTTTTGAAGTATCTGTGCTACATAGATCAATTCCAAATGATTCTTCGTTGGCCTTAGCTTCATTGATTTGTCCATTTTTTGTTTTTGGTTTGTCCAAAAAGGTGTGCTTGATCTTGGGATTATGAGAGCAATACTTTCAGTTTTTTTTTTATTTGTCAACATTGTGGGAATGATTTTATTACGTGGTTAATTGAGTGTGTTGTGGATATTTTTGTTTTCATTCTCATTTGTTTTTCCAATGAATCATTCACTTCTCTTAAAAAGAAACAGAGATCTAGAAAAAAAAATATTATTCTATCCTTTTTATCCTTTTTTTTTCAAAAAAAAAAAATAAAGGGTCTATGAGTAATATTAAATCACCATGAATATTTAATTTATTGATGATGTGAATAATACTAAATCACCGTAATTGTCAAGTGTCAAGAAAGTTTCCTTTGTGCATTACTTTAAAAATAACAATTTTTTTATTATATTTTAAGTTATACCATGAGTGATACAAAATCACATTAGATTTTTAAAAATAACAAAATCTTTAACATATTTTGGGTTATGTCATGAGTAATATTAAATAGCCGTGGATCCCTAAAAATATTAAATGAGATACTGTGAATGACACTAAGTCATCGTAGGCATCAAATTTTGTATTAAAATTCATAGTTAAATTATTCAAAACTCTGATACGGACTTATTAAATAATATTTGAAATTTGAATTGTTGAAATTGGGATTCTTTTGAAAGAATTCAAGAAATTTTCTTTATAAAACTTTACAATTTGGTAATCCTTGAGGGTTAAACCTTAGGTTGCCTGATTTAGAATCAAACTTGGTTTAGTAAGGGAGACTTTACGATTTAGTCTCTAGGTCCTGACATATATATATATCAATAATGCATAACTTGGGGTCACAATAATACCAACCATGCTCCTCTAACCACATCAGACCATAATAATAACAATCATGTGGCCAAGACTAAATGCGTGATCATGTACCAACCTTATATCCTCCCGATTACCTCCGATATGAAACTAGTGACTATTCGGTGGCTACATCCTTCATGGATTAAAGTGGTAGAGGTTGGAAGTTTGAGTCTGGGAAAGCTCCAAAAGACCTCTTTGGTGGGGTGAGGAATAACACAAGTACCACCTTGGGGAAAGCCGGCCTCCGCTGCAGTGATGTGGGTGGGCCCAGTCCAAAAGACCTCTGGGAAGGTGGGGTGAGGGCTGTTACATGTCATACCCCCTAATCTAGCCTCTTCATGAATCAATGGAGATTAGTTAGGTTCGAGTCCTTCATTGAACAAGTGAGACAGTCCTGAATCAACCATGAGATAAAGGCTACCTCTCGATTTCAATGATTGTGCCAAGGTAAGCTCTCGATTCTAATGATTACTGCCAATACCACGTGGATTTACTAATCTACTCCTCTCCCTAGGCGAACTCTTGCCAATGATCATGCTATGCACGTATGCCACATATTCATGCATCTCAATCATCAATCACATAACATGGATTCACATATCCATACTCACATAATCCACTTCACATATCAAATAATACATACTCACATAATCTCAATCATCATCATTATTCATATGTAAGTGAACATAATACTTTAACAATATCATATTCTCAAATATGCCAATTTTGCATTAAGAGTTTAAAATAGTAAACATGTTTTAAATCATCCATTTCAATAAGGATCCATTAATATTCAACTATATAAATTAGGTTTTCCTCGGTTACCTTAAACCTTTGAGAGGTTAAAGGTTACCCCTCAATCATAGCTTGCTTTTCAAGCTAAATTCAAGCTCATCGGTGTTTCATGAGATTAGTTTACAATAACTGCTAGAAAAACAGGATTTAATGAGGGAAAAATCCCTCACTAAATGCCTATTTTCCCTCGCTAAATCAATTTTAGTGAGGGATTCTGGCCCTCGTTAAATTTGTTACAAAAAATAGGCTCACTAAATTTAGCGAGGGATGTGTATTCCCTTATTAAATAGTGAGGGATTTAGCGAGGCATTATATCCCTTGCTAGATTTAGTAAGGGTATTTAGTGAGGGATTATATCCCTCGCTAGCGATGCTAAATAGCCTCACTAAATCCCTCACAATTCGAGATATAATCTGACCATTTAATAAGGAAATAGCGAGGGTTAACATCCCTTGCTAAAAATTAGTGACGAACCTATTCCTCGCTAATCCGTGGCTAATTGCGGTTAAAATTCATCATTTTGGTGAGACAAGGCAAGGGACTAATCCCTCACTATTTTATAGCAAGGGTTTTGGCCCTCACCATTTTCTCGCTAAATGAGATCTACGCACACTTTTAGTGAGGGATTTGTCCCTCACTAATCCCTTACTAAAACTGTGAAATTTTTTTTACATAATCCTCCACTAATCCCTTACTAATTTAATTTAGCAAATTTTAAATT